GTCGTCGTCCGTAAGAGCCCCAGATGAAGCAGAAACCCACCAACGTTCAGTAGGATCTCGCGCGCCATGAAAGATTCCGCCACTAAGCGTTCATCTAAAAATGGCCATGCCTTTCTCGTCAGACTGTGATTTGATGCGTCGGATGGTGTTGCGCACCACCTCGTGGTGTCTCTCCACAATGGCTGCCTTTGATCCCACTGGCTTCGTTCGGCGTTGTATCTGGTGCTGGTCGCAGTAGAGATGGGCCTCGTCTGACTCCAAGGCTCCTTCCTGATCTGCTATGAGATGTTGACGAGGTCCATGGGTACAGACCCAGTGTAAGTGAATGCTTCGTAATATGTCATCAGGCCCCTTACTCTTGGCGACGCCACCTCCAGCGAACCTTAGACACTCGTCGATGAACGAACATCGATAATTAAGCTCGCCGGCGCATAGTAGGTTCACTTGTACATCTTCGTTGAATTTGAACGATGGCCGAAGCATGGGCAGATTATTCGGTGCTGGTCTGTGCCACTGTCTGTATTCTCGACACGTGTCCACTAAGTTGTGCGCCAAAAAACCTATATCCATCGGCATGCCTGCGTTCTGCAACATCATGATCATGTCCTGAGCTTGAACGTACCACTATCGAATGTGCAAGACTCGCAGAGTACGCCGCACAAGGCTCATGTCCGCCGACTTGAGCTGATGTAGCGCCCTGCCCAAATCATATAATAGCCATGCCCTCATATCTGTCCATGATGGTAACTCATCGTCGGGTGCCTGAGCCCCCCCAGCTATTGCTCGTCGAAGTTCTCGACTGCCGGCAAGGTCTCTTCGTTGCGGCGCGCCTGCTATGCTGCCGATGCTGACCCTGATGGAGCCGATGGCACCGCTGGAGCTGGTCCAACGCCTGGTGCTGCTGCCGCAGGTGCCAGAGGAGGTGCTGCTGGTGGTAGCTCAAGCCTGGATCTGGGTCCACTCGGTTGGCCGCCGTCGGTTCGTCGTGAAGTCGTTCTCGAGGGTCTCGATGTAGTTTGGTGGCCCGCCGCTTGGATCCAGTCCTGATGGCTGCCTCTCCCCACTTGCCATCCAGCCCGTAGGTATGTCCTGCATGATCTCGAAGCTTACACGTCTTGCAAGAGGGGCATTCCCATTCGCGTGGCTCCACCAGAGATCGCATGCATGAGCTTGGATCTTGCGTATGGTTTGGGCCGAACATATCGCAATTGGAGCGACATGCCGAACACTTGACCCAATGCTGTAGTCGTTGAGCTGCTGCGCCTGCCCGTATTCTCCGCTGTCCTGCTCCAGCTGGTTGTGTAGGTGGCTCTGGAGATCCAAGTTGCACAACTGGTACTTCTGCCAGTGGAGGTGGTGCTGGTGCTAGTGGAGCTGCTGTGGGTGCTGCTGGTGCGCCTGCTGCGAATGCTGCTGCTGCCGCGCCTGCTCCAAGTGCTCGTCGACGTCTATACCGCACTGCTACTGCTGCTCCCAGTGCCTGTCTTCGTGGCTCTCATCGCCTTCAAGAAAGAAATGATGCTGAAGACTGAGATGCCGTAGTAAGTCGTGGATGGCAACGAATGTCACCAACTCCCAGGTCCACATCCGTGCATCATGAGATCGACCTCCCGATATGATACCGTGCTCGCGTTGCTGATCGAACTTGAGCTTCAACAACGGCTTGACAAAAGGAGGTCGATGCCCAAAACTCCGTCGGCTTGTGTAAGTGTAGGAATTAGAGATGGTGGTCGTCAATTCTCGCGAAAATTCGTCCTCCTCCTTCACATCCTCATCCCCAGCGGTCTCTGGGAGGGGAGCTCGGGGGGCCTACAAAGCAAAGAAAGCATCCAGAAACCTGACCCCTCGGTCCCCCCAATGGAGGGGGGGAAGGGGAGAAGGGGGCGGCGAAAGGGGGGGGATGGCTGGGCTCGGAGGGAACATTGAACTACTATCGGCGATGCGTCGCCGACAAGTCGGCGATGGGCCCCCAACAACGAAACCGCGCACTCTTGGAGAGGGTGGAGCGCTGTGGCGCCAATCGGCGATGTATGGGGTCGATGTTCCCCCCTCCCTATGCATGCTCATCTCCACGTTCAACCCGTCTTAAGTCCTCCTCCCCTTTTTTGTTGACAACGTATCCCCTGGAGATCTCCATGTCTTGCCAGGCACCAGCGCTTCTTCCAGATACGTGTTCTGACGGCCCCGGAGCCCACCCAGCAAGGGCTGTTCAAACAACTGTTAAAAAACATCCGTCGTGGTTTGCTTCCTCCTGCTCCTCCTGCTCCTCCTGCTCCTGCCCCTCCTCCTCCTCCTCCTCCGCCTCCTCCTCCTGCTCCTCATCCGCCTCCTCCTCCTCCTCCTCCTGCTCCTGCTCCCCCTGGTGGCGGGTACATGCAAGACTCCTGCCTCTGGTGGTGGGTAGATGCAAGAGTGACCTTTGGTGTACGGCTTCCGCATGGCGCGGGGAGCCTCAAACCAACTGCGAAGGCGCTGCTACCGCCCCGCACTCAGCGATCAGGGGACCCGAGGAGCAACGGCAAGGGGGTGACCAGCGCAGGGGGGGAACATTGACCCAGAATCGGCGACACGTCGCCGATGGATCGGCAATAGGCCCCCGACGGCGAACCCGCACGTCCCCGGGCAGGGTGGGGCAACCAAACCCCGACCGACGAGAAGTGGTCGTGCGGGGGCCCAGGCTCCCCCGCCTCCATCAGCCCCCCCCAGTCGCCTGCTCCCGAGGACCCCAGCGGCGCACCCCGGGTCACTCCCGCGAAGGCTCGCTCGCATGTGCAAGCCGACTGACGGCGGGTGCGCCCGCGGAGCAGGGAGGGCGGCGCGCGAGTCCTCGTCCGAGGAGTACTGCGACTCGCCTGGGGCAAGCAGGCGGTAGTTGGCGATGTCGTACCTGGCCCGCAGATAGGCTTAGGTCGGGCGTGCCCCCCTACAGGCGGAGTGTGCGCGAAAAATTTGAAATGCTCAAAAAATACCCCCCATGAGGTCGACAATAATCAAAAAATCGTCCCTGACTATGTTTCGCCTATGTTTGAACATTCCCCCTGTAGAGGGACACGCCCGCCTTAAAGCTAGGCGGAGGGAGGGGGGCCTCCCATCGCGCCGCATCGCCAGTGCATCGGCAATGCGTCCTCGTCCTCCTCATCCTCCTCCTCCTCGTACTCCTCCTCCTCCCCCTCCAGCCCACCCCCTCCTCCTCTTCCTACAAAAACGAACTCAAACTACACATATTGATACGGAAAGCTGAGAAGAAACATCGCGCGGCCTGGTTGGAAAATTTGTTTCGTCTGGCAGTTGGGGCGCGGTCAAGCTACTACGAAGACATGTTCCTCACAAGCACTAGGAGTCAAAGACCTGATTGGGAATCTTCGGCCAGACCAGACACCCTTGCAGAGTAATTCGAGGAGGTGCACTGGCGAGTATGCGCTGCCAACGCGGTGCCCACGAACACCGAGATGCTTGGGGCCACCTTGACGATCAACACCAACGCGTTCTCCTCAAGAAGAGATTCGGACAACGATAAAGAAGATGAAGAACAAGAAAGCAGCTGGACCTGATGACCTGCCTGCGGAATTCAAAATAGGTATTGCCGGAGACACGTGTGCCTGCGGAGCACTCCTGCGCGTGTGCCAAAAATGCTGGGAGACGAAGAACATGCCATCCACGTGGAGGCGGGCTACCGTGTTGCTGCTGGTCAAGGAAGTGGACGCTACTTTACAAAGCAACTACAGACCGATATCCCTTCTGGCCGTGGGCTACACAGCATTGGCTTCGATGCTACACAAGTCTTTTGGATGGCGGGTGCGAGCGGAGAATGCGGGAATCTCAAATTGGCTTCCGCCCGAAGCGTGGCACGTCAGACGCTTCGATGTTAGTCTGGAGGATAGTGGATGCAGCTCATATGAACAATGGAGACGGTTCGTCATTTCTGTTATTACGTTGGGCGAAAGCTTTCGATCGCCTGAAGCCCGACAGCATATGCATCGCCCTGGAAAGACTTGGACTACCACCACAACTTGTCAACATGATTCGTGGGATATACGCAGAGCGGTACTTTACTATTGCCGACCATTGTGGGACTTCTTCGGAAGAAAAGCTATCTGCAGGTATTGCCCAAAGCTGCCCCCTCAGCCCCTACCTGTTCATCGCTGTTCAAGCCGTGATGCTGCACGACGCTTTGGACTCGCTGAAGCTACAACCAGGGTCAGACGATGGTATCACCAGGGGCATGTTGCACGCAAGCGACACTCTCTTGGCGTCTCAACACCCCAGGAATGTACAGCTCATGCTGGAATACATTGCAACTGTAGGTCGGAAATATGGTATGGAACTCAAATGGAATACAGCAGCGCAGATAAACAGATCGATAACAGGAAAAGTGTGAACCCACGGACGAAACAATGACATACGTCAGAAGCCGCCTACTTGGGTGGGCCCATATCTTGCGATGACAAAGCTGGAAGTGAGTTATCTCGGAACTTGGGCGAAGGAGCGAGCATGTTCAACCAGTTGCAAACAGTATGGTCTCCCGCCGCCATCGGTTGGAACAGGAAACATAAGATGTGTCCCGCCTGCGCGTTGAGCAAGGATTCTCTGGATTCAGTCTGGCTTATCGAAGCCGAGAGGGTGCGCTTAGACGCCTCTCATTGCAAATGCATCGGTAAGATGCTGAATGTTCCGCCATGGTTCATGTGTAGGGTCGCCAACACATCAGTGCTGGGCAAGGCAAGAGCGAAGCGGATGTGTGGCACAGTATATGACACACGAGTGGCGCTGCACACCAAGATCGCAAATTGAAGTGGATCTTGTTTGGCGATAGCAACACAATGCAACGCCGACGGCTGTCCCAGACAACGGGCCTCCCGGCGGAAGCATGGGCGGTCGCGGCAGCGATGGGCCGCCTCGGTGTGTGATCCTTTTTTAGCTATAGACAGAAATCCCCTCTTCCTCCTGCTCCTGCCCCTGCCCCCCTTCCTCCTTCTCCTCCTGCCTCGCTGCCCGTCTTGTGTCTCACTCGCGGGCGGCCCACTTTCTGCTTCACAGTCGGGCGCTCCCTTTTCCTGCTTCACAGTCGCGAAGCGCTTCTTATTATGATTCTCACTTTGTAATTCACGAAGGGCTGCCAATCGCGCGCTCTTATGCCCACGCGTATTTCTGGGTGCTCGGCTGCATGGTGGAGGTGGTGGTGGAGCATCAAGAGAGCTCAGCAGCGCCAGGGCCCGCTGCCACTGCTCGCCCTTCTGGCAAGCGCTGATCCCAGCGCTGTAGCTAACGACATTGGGTTTCAACTTCGCCTCCCAAATCTCGCTCAGCAGCGCCAGGGACCGCCGCCACTGCTCGCCACTCTCGCACGCGCTGATCCCAACATTATAGCTGACTAGGGCTGACCCGTGGACTACGTCGACGACATCTGCTCGAGGTAGCAAGCGGTGTCTGGGCAAGCGTGCTTGTCTCTGCCGAGTGCCTGTTATAGCCGCTTGCTGTTGCTGAGTGCTGCGTGTTCCCACTCGCGGCTATTCGTTTTGTCTTTCTTCGGCGTTTGCCGCTTAAGTATGTCGCGTATTGCTGCTTGATCCCGGCATCAGCCTGGAGCTGTGCAAAGGAGGGAAGAAAATAAGCGGCACATCGGCGCCTTATTTTCCTGGGTGGCCGGCGCGGTTCCAGAGCTCTCTGAGGGATCTTCCCTTGGAAGCCTTCTTGAGAGACCTGGGGCTGGCTTGGGGCGTGGAGGCTCCGAAGATGCGAACAAGTCAGACTGGAGCCTTTGCAAAGGAGGGAAGAAAATAAGAGGCGCATCTCCGCCTTATTTTCCTTGGTGGCTGGCGCAGTTCCAGAGCACTCCGAGGGATCTTCCCTCGGAAGCCTCTTCGAGGCAGCGTCGGGGATGTCTTCTGGCCTCTCGAGGTTCTCTGAGGGCCTGATTTGGGCCTCTTCGGGGCCCTTCTGGGGCGTCTGGGGGGCCTCCTGGGGCCAGCTGGCGGTGTCACATCTGGGATCATCATGGAGCGGAGGGCGCGGAATGTCAGTTCGAGTTCTCCCTCGTGAGGTCCTCTTGGGACCGTCTTGGGCCGTCTTGGGGGGCTCTTGGGCCGTTTTCGGGCCCTCTTGGGCCGTCTGGGCGTTCTCTTTGGGGGGGGCCCTGGGGCCGGCTGGGAGCGTGCAGACTCCGAAAAAACGAAAACGCTGAAAATCCATAATTTTAGCGTCCCGGAGCCCTTCTCGGGGGCCTCTTGCAGCCCTCTTGCGCCGTCTTCCTGCACTGTGGGGCTGGGGCGTCGGGGGGGATTTGGGATCATCCTGGAGCGGAGGGCGCGAAATGCCAGTTGGAGCTTCACCTCGCGAGGCACTCTTGGGGCCGTCTTGTGCCGTCTTGGGGCCCTTTTGGGCTGCCTGGGAGCTCTATTGGGGGCCTCTTGGGTCATCGTTGCGCGATCTTTGGGGCCCTGGGGCCAACTTGGAGCGTGAAGGCTCCGAAAAGGCGAAAACGCTGAAACCCATCAAAAGCAAACAGGAAATTCACGAGTTTCGCCTCACGGGGCCCGTCTTGAGGGACTCTTGGGGCCCTCCTGGGCTGTCTTCTGGCACTGTGGCGCCTTCGGGGGCGTCTGGGGGGCCTCTTGGGGGCCAGCTGTCGGTGTCTGGGATCATCCTGGAGCGGAGGGCGCGAAAGGTCAGTTCGGCCCCCCCCTGGTGGGGCCCTCTTCGGGCCGTCGTGTGTCGGCTTGGGGGGACTCTTCGGCCATCTTGGGGCCCTCTTAGGCTGTCTGGGCGGCCTTCGGCCGTCTTGGAGCGGTGCGGTCTTGGGGGCCTCTTGGGCGGTCTTCGAGCGTCGGGAAGCCGACAAAGAGAGACTGCGAAAAAAAGAAGAAAAAAAATGTAATGCAAGAATGTTTGCCCCTGGGGATCCTCTGGACAGGCCTCTTGGAGGGTTTTGAAGCCTCGTGGGCCGTCCTTTGGCCAATCTTGAGCGTCTTGGCCCGATCATTGGGCGTTTCGGTGCACTCTTGGGCCGTCTTGGGGGCATCTTGGTGCCCTCATGGCCCGTCTTCAGGCTTCCCTGGGAGGCCGGGAGCGCCCCAGGGCCAGCCCGGAGCGGGTTTGAGCCACTGGGTCCTGCGTCCTTCTGGCACACGGCGCCCGCGGCGTTGGAGTATAGATGGCATTGGGCTCCAGCTTTGCCTCCCGCATCTCGCTCAGCAGCGCCAGGGCCCGCTGCCACTGCTCGCCCTTCGCGCTCCGGGGCCGTCTTGGGGAAATCTGGGGGCCCTCTCGACATGTCCTGGGGCCTGCCTGGGCGGCCCGGGGCGGCCCGGGGCCAGCCCGGGGCGGTTTCGGTGCATTGGGGCCTGCGCCCTTCTGGCACGCACTGGGCCCTGCAATGTAGTAGAGACTAGGGCTGACCCGTAGACTCCGTCCACGACATCTTTCTGGAATGATTCTCGGAGGAACGGCGCAGATTGTACCAAAAATCTACAAACACGGCAGCGGCTCGGGCGGCGGCAGCAAGACCGCGCCTTCGTGTCCGAGCTCTTGCAGCGCTCCAGCAGCTTGGCCCAGCGCACTGCTCGTTCACCCCCCTCTTATTGAGGGCAGTTTCGAAGTCTCTCGGGGATGCGCGTCGAAGTCGAAGCCCATCTGAAGCGTCTCAGGAGCGCCCGGGGCAGGGCTCGGGAGGCCATCGGGGAAAGCCACCGAAGGCGCCGGGGAGGCTCGCAAGCATCAACAGGGAGGGCCCAAAAAGATTTCAAGAAAATTTGAAATTCTGTAGAATCTTTAGAGAAACCGCTGTTGGGTCGGCCATCACCTCCGGGCACGCCTTGATGGTGCGATGCAGTCGAATGGGGAAGACTTGTCCGAATCTCCTGGGGCCCCCAGGTGCTCGTCCGAAGAATGCGGAGAGGTCCCTGGGTCATATCAATTGGCTGCTGTCCCAGGGGTCCGGTCTGGTTGGCCCGAAGAGTTTGCCAAGGCCCCTGGGGGAACAGAATGGCACAGCATATCGGGCAAAGGGGGGCGGTAGCTGGCCTGTCAGACCCGGCGTTCGTCTTCTGCCCAAGCGGCGCGGGGCCCACGGGCCCCAGGGTTGGCGGCCCGCTGGGTTTCCTCTTGTTCGCCCACAGGGTTGGAGGAGGCCTCCAGGCGAACAGAATGGGGCAGGACAATGAATGTGGGAGACTTGTCGCAAGCTCCCAGCCCCCCCAAGTGTTCGCCCGAAGGGTGTGGGGCCGCGTTGGCTCCCTCAAAGGGCCGTCTTGGAGCCGTCTAGGCCCGTCTTGAGGGCGCCGTTTGCCGTGATGGGGCCGTCTTGGTTCGTCGTGGGCCCCTCATGGGCGCGTCCGTAGGCCGTCCTGGGCCCATCGGGGTCCTTGTTGGCACTATCGTGGGGCTGTCGTGGAGCCGTCTGGGACCGTGAGGGGGCCGCCTTGGAGTCGTCTTGGGCCCCTCCTGTGCGCCTCCTTGGGCCGTCCTGGGCCCAGCAAGGGCCGTGTTGGAACCCTCTTGGGGCTGTATTGGAGCCGTCTTGAGCCGTCGCAGCGCGCCTTGGGTTGTGATGGGTCCGTCTTGGCCCGTCTTGGGGCCTTCCTGGGCGTTTCCTCGGACCCTCCTGGGACTTTCTGGGGCCTCTTGGTGCATCGGACCGCCGAAACGGCGGGAAACGCAAAGGGTGTAACAGTAAACAATGGAAAATGAACGATTTTTGCCAGCTGGGGCTCTCTTGCCATCTTGGCCCGTCTTGAGGCCCCGACCGGGCGCGTCCCTTGGGCCGTCCTGGGCCCACCCTCCTGGGACCGTCTTGGAGTCGTCTTGGGCCGTCTTGAGCGCATAGCCGTCTTGGACGCTGCGAGGACGAAAAAACGGAACATAGCGAAAATGTGCGTTTCCCGTCGGGAATGGGACGATTTGGGCATCTTGGGGCTCTCCTGGAGGCCCTCCTGGGCCGTCTTGGGCGCCTCCTGACCTGCCTTGGGTGCCTCTAAGGCTGCCTTGGGGCTTCTGAGGCTGTCTTGGCGCCCCCTGGAGCCTCTCGGAGCCGTCCCGTTGGCCATGCTTTGCTGCTCTTGGGCCGTGGGGACGTCCTGGGCCGTCGGGGCCGTGTGGGGCCTTTTGGTGGCCTCTAGGCGCGTCTTGGTGCGAGGTGGAGGGCCTGTATAGCTGCTTGGGGGCCCTCCTGGGGTGCTCTGGGGGGCGTCTTGGGGCGAACGGGAAGGCCTGTATAGCCGTCTTGGACGCGGTGAAGACGAAAAGAGCGAGCATATCAGACATGCACGTTTTCCGAAGCGAATTGAACAAGTTTTGCCTCTTGGGTCCCTCCTGAGGGTCCTGGCTTGGGGTCCTCTGGGGCCGGCTTGGGCGCCTCTTGGGCCATATTGGGGCTCCCTGGACCGTCTGGAGACGCGCTTGGAGGCCTGTTGGGCCGTCCTGGTGCGGTCTTGTGGGTGTCTTCGGCCGACTTGGAGCGTCGGCTAGCCGAGAAGGCGAGAAGGCAAGGGCGGTCTTGTGGGTGTATTCGGCCGTCTTGGAGCGTCGGCTAGCCGAGAAGGCGAGAAGGCAAACCTCCTTTAAAAACCATAGAAACAGGCAAGGAGTTTGGCCTCTGGGGGCATCCTTCGGAGTACTGTTGGATGCTCTTGGAGGCCTCTTCGGGGGGTCTTGGGGTCTTGTGTGGGCGTACGGGGGCCCAGGGCTCGGAATGTCAGGTTGCTCCCCGTTCGGTGGCCCCCTCTTGGGCCTGGCTTGGGGTCCTCTGGGGCCGTCTTGGGCGACTCTTGGGCCATCTTGGGGCTCCCTGGGCCATCTGGGGACGCGCTTGGATGCCTGTTGGGCCGTCCTGGGGCGGTCTTGTGGGTCTCTTGCGCCGTCTTGGAGCGTCGGCTAGCCGAGAAGGCGAGAAGGCAAAACACATGCAAAAACCATAGAAAGAGTAAGGATATTGGCCTCTGGGGGGCATGCTTCGGAGTACTGTTGGAGGCTCTTGGAGGCCCCTTGGGGGGATCTTGGGGCCTTATGTGGGCATATGTGGACCCAGGGCTCGGAGTGTCAGGGTTTTTCCCCGTTCTTTGGTCCCCTCTTGGGCCTGGCTTGGGGTCCTCTGGGGCCGTCTTGGGCGACTCTTGGGCCATCTTGGGGCTCCCTGTGCAGTCTGGGGACGCGCTTGGAGGCCTGGTGGACCGTCCTGGGGCGGTCGTGTGGGTCTCTTCGGCCGTCTTGGAGCGTCGGCTAGCCGAGAAGGCGAGAAGGCAAAACACATGCAAAAAACCATAGAAAGAGTAAGGATGTTGGCCTCTGGGGGCATGCTTCGGAGGACTGCTGGAGGCTCTTGGAGGCCTCTAGGGCCTTGTTGGGGGCCTCTAGGGGGCCTCTTGGACGCTCCCTGGAGCCTCTTATGGCCACTTCGGCGCGTCTTTGGGCGGAGGGCTCGATTTGTGACGCTCGGGGGCCAGGATCTGCGTGAGGGGTGGGAGCGCATCGGTGCACGACCTTCTGGCACGCGCTGATGTCCGCCATAGAGAAGAGACTAGGGCTGACCCGTGGACTACGTCCACTTGCGGGGCGAAGGGGTGCTGCTGCAAGGCCATCAGGATGAATGGCGTCACATTCGCCTGCCACGCATCGCTGAGCGAGGAGACGCAGGAGCGTCTGGACGCCCCACCTGGGGCGCTCAAGTGCTCCCTTGGGATCGGGCCGGGCTTTGTCGTTGCGTTGGGTCTAACCTTCTCGGGGCGTTCTGGGGCCGTGTGGAGGCCCTCTGAGGGGCCCCAAGATCACAAACACGCCTCCAAGATAGCTCCATAATGGCCGCCCGCCCAGAATCGGCGGGACCGATGCTGGGCCACCGCGCCGCCGAGCCAGAATCCCGCCCGACGGACCCTGGGCGGCCGCGCGCGCTTCCGGGGTCGGCCGAGGCGATTCTGGGCCACCAGAAGAGCGAACCACGGCATAGCTCCAAGAGGCCGCGGAGAGAGCTCAAGACCGACAACAAGTGGGAGGGATTTTGAAGCCAAATCTAGCAGGGAGCGCCAAACAAGCATCAGAGGCCCATGGTGCGCTGGGAGCAGTTTTGGGACCGTCTGTGGCCGTCGTAGGCCGTCTTTGGCTGCTGTTGGTGCTGTCGTCGGTGCTTCTTGGGCCGTGATCTTGGGGCCCCTGGGGGTCGTTTTGGAACCTCTCAGCGCTTCTTTTCGGCCTCCTGGAAACCTCCTGGGCTTGGGCTGTCTCGGGTGCCTTGGGCCGTGTGGAGGCAGTCCGGGGCCGTCTGAGGGTTGCCTGGGGCCGTCTTGGACGTCTCTGGAGCAGTCTGGGGTCTGGGGGTCGTCTAAGGCCGTCCTGGGCCGCTCTTGAAGCTATCTTGGGTGCCCCGTGGGCCGCCAGGGCGCCTCAGGAGCCGTCCTAGAGCCATCTTGGGACCCTGTATGGCCGTCGAGGACGCTATGAAGAGGGCAAGCCCAGAACTGCCAACATGTACATTTCCCCGCGGGAGTGTAACGATTCTGCAGTGTTCGGGCTCTCTTGGGGCTCGTCGTGGAGCCCACTTGGAGCGTATTAGAAGCCTCTCGGGCCGCCTGCAGGCCATCTGCGGCGTTGTCGGGGCCGTCTGGGTATTGCCTGGGTCCGCCTTGGGCGTCGCTGGAGCAGTCTGGGCACCGTCTGGCGGTCGTCTTGGGCCGTCCTGAGCCGCTTTTGATGCTGCCTTGGGTACCCCGTGGGCCGCCAGGGGCACCTCAGGAGCCGTCCTAGGGCCATCTTGGGACCCTGTATGGCCATCTTGGACGCTATGAAGAGGGCAAGCCCGGGAACTGCCAAAATGCACGTTTCCCTTAGGGAATGGGACGATTTGTCGGTGTTCGGACTCTCTTGGGGCTCGTCGTGGAGCCCACTTGGAGCGTTTTGGAAGCCTCTTGGGCCGCCTGCAGGCCATCTGAGGCGTTGTCGGGGCCGTCTGGGTATTGTCTGGGTCTGCCTTGGGCGTCTCTGGAACAGTCTGGCTGGGCCGCTCTTGATGCTGTCTTGGGTGCCCCGTGGGCCGCCAGGGGCGCCTCAGGAGCCGTCCTGGGGTCGTCGAGGGCGGTCTTGGGGCCCTCATGGGAGCATCTTAGGGCGATCTTGGGGGCCTCTATGGCCGTCGTGGACGCGTCGGAAACGAAAAGCACGATAATGCCCCAAATACGCGTTTCCGAAGGGAATGGGAAGATTTTGGCCTCTTGGGGCTCTCCTGGGAGGTCCTCATGGGCTGTCTTGGAAGCCGCTGGGGGCGTCTTGGGGCCACTTGGGCGCCTCTTGGGCTGCCTTGGGGCCGTCTTGGGCCGTCTTGAGCCTCTCTTGGAGCCCTCTTGGGCTCCTCTTGGGCTGTCGTGGGGCCTCTTGGGCCGTCTGGGGTCCGCCTGGGCCCGCCCGATGGCGGTTTTGCCACACTGGGTCCCCCGCCATTCTGGCACGCGGCTCCGCCGGTGTTAGAGTATAAATTACGTTGCGCTCCAGCTTCGCCTCCCACGTCTCGCTCAGCAGCGCCAGGGCCCGCTGCAATCCCAACGCTGTAGCTGATGGCTTCGGGCTCCAGCTGCTTCGCCGCCCCCCACACCTCGCTCTACAGCGCCAGAGCCGTCGGCTATTGCTCGCCCATTTCCCACGAGCTGGTCCCAGCGATGCACCTGAACCCAAAGTAATGTGTCGAACACTGCATGTTTTGTATCATTCCCCTGCAACTAGGTCACGCACCTCCCTCAATAAAAGCAGCACTTGGCTCCATTGCCCGCCTTGCTCGCACATGCTGGCTGTAGTTCCGTAGGCCGTGAAGCCAACGTCCAACCTTCTCAGACGCATGGTTCTGAGAATGCTCAACGCCTGTTGCCACTGCCCACCCTTCTCGCACGCGTTGACCCCAGCGCTGTAGCTGATGACGTCGGGCTCCAGCTTCACCTCCTTCATCTCGCTCAACAGCGCCAGGGCCCGCTGCCACGACTCGCCCTTTTCGCACGCGCTGATCCCAGCGCTGTAGCTGATGACGTCGGGTTCCAGCTTCGCCTCCCGCATCTCGCTCAGCAGCGCCAGGGCCCGCTGCCACTGCTCGCCCTTCTCGCACGCGCTGATACCAGCGCAATAGCTGATTACGTTGCGTTCCAGTTTCACCTCCTTCATCTCGCTCAACAGCGCAAGCGCCCGCTGCCACTGCTGGCCCTTCTCGCACGCACTGGTCCCAGCGTTGTAGCTGACTAGGGCAGACCTGTGGACTCCGTCCACGACATCAGCTCGACGTGGCGAGGGGTCTCTGGGCAAGCGCGGGGGGGTGCGGCTGCAGGGCCGAAAGGCAATCATGATGGCGTCGGGCTCCTCCTCCTCCTCCTCCTCCTCCTCCTCCTTTTCCACCTTCTTCTCCTCTTTCGCTGGATTCTCCATGCCCTCGGTCGGCAATCGTCGATCCTACGACGACTCTCCCCAACAGAGAAACATCGAAGGCCCTCGGAGCGTCCAACATTGTTCTTTTGTGCCTTCGATATGCCGGTCGCCTCTCGTCCGCTCCCCCGCTCCTGGAAGGAATTCTGAAGGCACTGAAGGCTTCGTAGGGGCCGTTTCGGAGCCTCTTCGGCCTTCGTTTGGGCCTCGCGGGGGGGCTCTTAGGGCTCTCTCGGGCCGTCTTGGGTGCCTCTTGGGCCGTCTTCGGGCCATCTGAGGCCCTCCTTGGCGCCTCTTCGGCTGTCGTGGGCCGTCTTGGGCCGCTCCTGGGGCCGTCTTGGGTGCCTCTTGGGCCGTCTTGGGCGCCTCCTGGGCCGTCCGGACGCCGTCCTGCGGCGTCTTGGGACCGTCTTGGGGCCCTCCTGGCCCGTCTTGGGGCTCTCTTGGGGTCCTCTTCGGCCGTCTTGGAGCGGTCGGGGGGGCGTCTTGGGCCGTCTTGGAGCGTCGGGAAGGCGACGAGGCGAGGAGGCCGAAAACATTGACAAACACAATAGAAATCGACGATTTCTGTCGCTCGGGGCCCTCTTGGGAGGCCTCTTGGGAGGCCTCTTCGGGCGTCTTGGACGCCTCGAGGGCCTCCTGGGGCGAATCTCGGACGTCTTGGGCGCTCTTGGGCTGTCTTGGGCCGTCTTGGGCCGCTCCTGGGGCCGTCTTGGGTGCCTCTTGGGCCGTCTTGGGCGCCTCCTGGGCCGTCCTGGGGCCGTCCTGCGGCGTCTTGGGACCGTCTGGGGGCCCTCCTGGCCCGTCTTGGGGCTCTCTTGGTATCCTCTTCGGCCGTCTTGGAGCGGTCGGGGGGGCGTCTTGGGCCGTCTTGGAGCGTCGGAAAGCCGACGAGGCGAGGAGGCCAAAAACATTGAAAAACACAATAGAAATCGACGATTTCTGTCGCTCGGGGCCCTCTTGGGAGGCCTCTTGGGAGGCCTCTTCGGGCGTCTTGGACGCCTCGAGGGCCTCCTGGGGCGAATCTCGGGCGTCTTGGGCGCTCTTGGGCTGTCTTGGGCCGTCTTGGGCCGCTCCTGGGGCCGTCTTGGGTGCCTCTTGGGCCGTCTTGGGCGCCTCCTGGGCCGTCCTGGGGCCGTCCTGCGGCGTCTTGGGACCGTCTGGGGGCCCTCCTGGCCCGTCTTGGGGCTCTCTTGGGGTCCTCTTCGGCCGTCTTGGAGCGGTCGGGGGGACTTCTTGGGCCGTCTTGGAGCGTCGGAAAGCCGAAGAGGCGAGGAGGCCGAAAACACCGAAAAACACAGTAGAAATCGACGCTTTCTGTCGCTCGGGGCCCTCTTGGGAGGCCTCTTGGGAGGCCTCTTCGGGCGTCTTGGACGCCTCGAGGGCCGCCTGGGGCGACTCTCGGACGTCTTGGGCGCATCTTTAAGCGTGCCGGGGCTCTCCAGGGCCGTCTTGGGGGATTTTTGGGACCCTCTGGACGTGTCTTGGGGCCTCCCTGGGCGGCCCGGAGCCAGCCCGGGGCGGTTTTGGTTCATTGGAGCCTGCACCATTCTGGCACGCACTGGGCCCTGCAATGTAGTAGAGACTAGGGCTGACCCGCGGCCTTCCGGCCGCGGAATCTGCCCGCCATGGCGTGCACGTGGAAGTGGAGTGTCTCTGGGGCCTCGCGGGTAAGGGGAGGGTGGAGGGGACGGCGTGGGATGAGGAGGTGGCCGCTGGCTGGAGGTGGAGGTGAGCGAGGGATGCAGGCAAGCAGGCCTGAAGGCAGGAACGCGGTGGTGGAGGCGGTGCCAGTGGAAGCACACCCATGTAGGCATGACATGGTGTGGACAGAAGCGGTTTCTGACGCCGCGGTCTGTGTTCATCGTAATTTCTGCGGGGAGGGTAGCCGTGAGAAGTTATCTGCTCTTCGACGGGGCCGAGTGATAATTGTATCTGGTAGTCTGGTGACAATGGGGCCAGCGGGCGCGGCCTAAGAAACCTGATCGGACAAGAACGGGAAGCGCCGCTTTAGTCTATTGGGCGTGTTAGGCGAAGAAGAAAAGGAAGGCGAGGACAACGAGGAGTCGATGACGAGGACGACGTGGCGAACGTGAGGATAGCGCGGAGGAGCATGAGGACAACGAGGAGGAAGAGAAGCACAAGGACGATGACGAAGAGAACGAGGGCGAGTACGAGGACGAATGCGGAGGGCGACGACGACGACGACGACGACGACGACGACAGAGGACAGTACGAGGCAATTGGAGAAAGACGTTGCTCCTGGCGCCGCGCGGGGTTCTCTTGGGGCCTGTTGGGGGCTTCTTGGGGGCCCCTTGGGTCCTCTTATGGGCTTCTGGGGTCTTCTTGGGCTGTCTGGGCGCGTCGTGGGGTTCTGTGGGAGCTTTCTTAGGCCGTCTCGGCGCTGGGGGCCTCCTGGGGCGCTCCCGGGAGTCTCTTGGGGCCTTCTTGGCCCTTCTTGGGCCGTCTTGGGGTTCTTGTGAGCTGTGTGGGTGGCTCCTAGAGCGCTCTTGGGGGTCTCTGGGGGTCTTCTTGGGGCGCTCTTGGGCGCTCCTGGGGCTCTCCGGGGCGTCTTTTGGGCCTCCCTTGGGCCGTTGGAAAACACTCCAAGAGCGATTCGAACACGACGTCGACGTCTTGGCGTTATCTTGGACTGTCTTGGCGTTATCTTGGACTGTCGTGGGGCTCTGGGGGCCTGATTGGGGCCCGTGGGGAGCATTTTGGGAGCCTCTTGGAGGCTTCTGTGACCCTCTTGGACTCAGGCGTCTCTCGAGGGTCTGTGGGGGCTCTCTTGGGCTGTCTTGGCGTTCTCTTGGACCGTCTTGGGGCTCTCTTGGCCAGTCCTGGGGCCTCTTCGCGCGCTCGGGGGGGCCTCTGGGCGCCTCTTGAGGGCCTCTTGGGGTCTCTTGGGCCGTTTTGGGGGTCCCCTGGGGGGCCTTTGGGGGCTCTCTTGGGGCCCTCCGGGAGCGACTCCAAGATAATGCCGGTTCGGAGTCCCCGCCGGAGCCGATTTTTCGAGGATGTCTCGAGCGAAACGGCCATTTTTCCGGAACCTGATCGGACAAGAACGGGAAGCGCCGCTTTAGTCTATTGGGCGTATTAGGCGAAGAAGAAAAGGAAGGCGAGGACAACGAGGAGTCGATGACGAGGACGACGTGGCGAACGTGAGGATAGCGCGGAGGAGCATGAGGACAACGAGGAGGAAGAGAAGCACAAGGACGATGACGAAGAGAACGAGGGCGAGTACGAGGACGAATGCGGAGGGCGACGACGACGACGACGACGACGACGACAGAGGACAGTACGAGGCAATTGGAGAAAGACGTTGCTCCTGGCGCCGCGCGGGGTTCTCTTGGGCCTGTTGGGGGCTTCTTGGGGGCCCCTTGGGTCCTCTTATGGGCTTCTGGGGTCTTCTTGGGCTGTCTGGGCGCGTCGTGGGGTTCTGTGGGAGCTTTCTTAGGCCGTCTCGGCGCTGGGGGCCTCCTGGGGCGCTCCCGGGAGTCTCTTGGGGCCTTCTTGGCCCTTCTTGGGCCGTCTTGGGGTTCTTGTGAGCTGTGTGGGTGGCTCCTAGAGCGCTCTTGGGGGTCTCTGGGGGTCTTCTTGGGGCGCTCTTGGGCGCTCCTGGGGCTCTCCGGGGCGTCTTTTGGGCCTCCCTTGGGCCGTTGGAAAACACTCCAAGAGCGATTCGAACACGACGTCGACGTCTTGGCGTTATCTTGGACTGTCTTGGCGTTATCTTGGACTGTCGTGGGGCTCTGGGGGCCTGATTGGGGCCCGTGGGGAGCATTTTGGGAGCCTCTTGGAGGCTTCTGTGACCCTCTTGGACTCAGGCGTCTCTCGAGGTCTGTGGGGGCTCTCTTGGGCTGTCTTGGCGTTCTCTTGGACCGTCTTGGGGCTCTCTTGGCCAGTCCTGGGGCCTCTTCGCGCGCTCGGGGGGGCCTCTGGGCGCCTCTTGAGGGCCTCTTGGGGGTCTCTTGGGCCGTTTTGGGGGTCCCCTGGGCGGCCTTTGGGGGCTCTCTTGGGCAGTTTTGAGGCCCTCCGGGAGCGACTCCAAGATAATGCCGGTTCGGAGTCCCCTCCGGAGCCGATTTTTCGAGGATGTCTCGAGCGAAACGGCAATTTTTTCGGAATCCCTGTTGCGTTTCCTGGCTTCGGCGCCGTCTTGGAGGTATCTTGGACGCTCTTGGGGCTGTCGTAGCCTCTGGCCTCTCGGGGGCCTCTTGGGGGAGTCCCGGGGGGGGCCTTCGGGAGCTCTATGGGGCGTTTGGAAGCTCTCAGGGAACTCCTGGAGCCTTTTCGCGCGTTCTGGGGGACTTCTGGCCGCCTCTTTGGAGCCCCTGGGGGGCTTCTTGGGGGTCTCTTGGGGCGTTTTGGGCGCTCTGGCGGGCCTCTGGCCGCCCCTTGGGGGCCTCTTGGGGGTCTCTTGGGGCGCTCTGGGGGTCCTCTGGGGGGCCTTCGGGGGCTTTCTTGGGCCGTTTGGAGGCCCTCCGGGAGCGATTCCAAGATAATGCTGCTTCGGAGTCCCCTCCGGAGCCGATTTTTTGAGGACGTCCCGAGCGAAACGGCCAATTTTCCGGAACCTGACCGGACAAGAACGGGAAGCGCCGTTTTTTATCCACCACGTGCGTCAGAGACCGTATTGGCGAGAACGTCAGAGAAACCCATAAACGCAACAGAACAGACTAAATGATGGCCTGCCGCGCTGGTCTGTCGAGGTAGTCTGCTGCCCTGGCCACATCATGGTGTCGACACCGTGCTTTTCTCTCGGCAAACGCGGGCCCCACCCGTTGTCGCCCAGCCTACTTTTCTGTTCCAGCCTGTCTTGTCTTT